TGTTTACCTGTAGCTCTCCCAGTTTCATGTCATCTGCAAAGCTAGCAAACATGTTTTTCAGATATCTAGATCACCATGAATAATTTAGTGGTATAGTAAGTGGTTTAAGTAGCATTGGGGGAAGAGGTGACAGGAATTTCTTTTAATTAATTGTATAATATTTACAAGATTAAATGTATACTATTTACAGGAAGAAAAAGCCCCCTTTTCTCTCTTGTATCCCTTTTGCTCTTTAAATGCAAAAAATACTATTTCATTTTAGAGCATAAATGTTGGATTTTTTTTATGATTAAAGTTCTTAGAGTAGTATTAACATATTTTGCAAACTACAGCAAATACCACAGTAACCTACACTTTGGTCAAAGTTGCTCATCACCATTATAATTTTGGGACAGATTTAATTTAAAATTTAATTAACTGTTTCAGCAAAGAAAGTGGAAATATGCCAATGTAATTTACTCCTATCACAAGTTGGGAGGCATTGTCAAAGAACAAGCAAGTTATTATACAGAAAGGACTAGATGAGCTTGATGACTGGTGTTACTGGAATGAGATGAAATTCAGATCTATAAATGAAAAGTCATGCACTTAGGGGCAATTCTAATGTAGTACGGGAACACACAGCTGGAGAGTAAGAGGATCACAGAACCACAGAATGATGGCAGGTTGCCACTTGTACATTTTAATGCTCCGCTTTAACATTGAACAAAGACAGTTAATTTTTACAGATTTCTGAGGAGAAGCTGGTAATCTGTTTTCCTTCTGATTTTATTAATCATCAGGATTGTCTGTAGATGAAGGGCTCCTAGACAGCCAGGAAAAGACTCAGAAGTTTCTCGCTGCTCTGTCCTGTCAAAAATCATTCACTCATGTAGAATTTCTTTACATATGACACCGAGCACTTCTTCAACTCTACCTTTACATGGGCCACGAGTGTTTTGCCAAATGATTAAAAGACAAAGTCCACTTCAAGCTTTCAGATGTACCATAGTAATGGGAAGGTGGATACCACTGGTGATAAAATTACTCATAAAATGTACTCATGGCTGTAGGGAGGAAGCTAGACAGCAGTCAGAAGTTACCTATTACCAGAATTATTATTCTTCCATGTTTATATTTTAGGTAAATTTTGACTGTGTTTGAACAATAGTTTTTAAATGTAAGTTATGTTGGATTGGTTTTTGATTGATATTTCCTGTTTGATTTGATAACTTTCCATTCCTATCTCTACTAATTTTATGTTACATTTACTATAGCTATTTTATTTTTGATATAATTACTGTAGCTAATTATTTTAATGTATTTTAAGGATCGTTACTAGTTTGTCTACTGTGGTCTCCTCTTTAGAAATATATATATTTCTCTTTTAGACTGCAAAGATCATACTGCATTTTCTGCCTATTCTGTCTCTAAAATACTTGTTCTTTTCACCTTATAGCCTAGTAAGACTGTACACCCAGGCATCTAAGGCAATGGGATACAATGTCCCACTGGCTATTTTCCTTTTGTCTTTACTTTTCACTGTCTTTCCTAACACCATGCATGTAGATTGTACAGCACTGGTGGAAATCAAATTGAGATCTTGGGTAATTTCAGACCTGTACGATAAGAAACAAATAATAAGACATTTTAACTTAATATACCATTAACAGCAGAATGAAGCTTCTTTTCCATGTTGTGTGAATTAGCCCAGCTTTTCAGCTGCTTGGTTTACTCTAACTTTCATAAGCAGCTGTATAAACACATATGTACATATCCACACATATAAATAATCAAAATACTTTTGAGTTAGAAGTTCCTTTACTCCTCTGTGGATCTGTGCTGCCTCATAATCACCTTATTTTGGGACTAGAGAGCAGCCCCAAGTAAACCACAGTCCTAATTAGAGCCAGCCAGAAGTTTTTATCCAAAGTTTTGTAACAAAAAAAAAATGGTTACATGGAATTGTTTGCAAAATTTCTATTGATTTCATTGAATATTTTGTGAAAGTAGAAAACTCTATAAAACTCTATTAAAAAAAAGGGCTTTTAACATTTTTTTTAAAAAAAAATTGTGTAATGTTTAAATGATTCAACACCATATCAATACTTCTGATGTGGTTAAATTATATTTCTTATTCAATATATTTTTTTCTTAGTTGCGGAAAATTTCAAAACCACTATTTTGATCCAGACAAACTTCATACTCTCACTACAATTACCAAAGAACCAAATTATCAATATTTGTCCCTTTCTTCATTGTCCTTTTTTCAAAGCCATGATGGCGTTTCTTCAGCTGCTGTACTCTTTCCTTCTGCAGCCTTTCTCACTTTAGAGTGACTCTCTGCTTTTTATTACTTTCCACAGCTGCTTTAGTCCTCTTCACAGCTGAAGGACAGGTCATGGCAGAGGGACAGAAGGAAATGACTGCCTGGAGGTCTGAATCTATAGATAGAGCCATGTGTTGCTTGAAAATTTGGAAGAGATTTGGGTACGTGTGAGGGAGGGTACGAAGGAGGGAAGGGCAGAAGGTTGATGGTGGGGAAAGAGAGAGGCTAAAAAAGTTTTATTAGTGCAGCGGGAGAACAAGTATGAAAATCAGTAAGCATAGAAAATAGAGAAAGCAGGAGAGTGAAAAGAAGTAGGATGGCTTTAGGTGGAGTGGTGTCCAAAGGTGATGTCTTATTGATTTGCCACATGGGAGGGGCTTGCAGTGCTCCTGATCATCTCGTCTTGCTCCCTGCTACAGCGGGTGATTTCCGTACAGGAATTCGGCACTGCAGTGAACAGTCAAAACTGCCATCCGTCCCTCTCATTGCTGGCTTTCCTGGGTTTACAAAGAATACACATCCATCAAATATATTGTACAAATTTATTTTAGAAAACCGATACAAGCTATGGTTTAAAATAATCCAGACCGCCGATAATCCAGTCTCAGCAACTGCTTTGGTTGTACCCTGCCTGTGCAACCTCCATTTTTCTATTTCTCTTACTTTGCTATCCCTCCTACTTACTTTCTGTGTCACTTTCACAGTTTTAACAGCTATGGTCTCATCAGCAGTAGCTGCTATGTATTCAAAAGAATTTTTGAGAATCCTGAGACCTGCCTGGTTATATAAAATCGTGTATTTTAGTGCCAGAGTCTCAGTTTAAGCAAGTGTTCGAGCATGCAAAAATTCTTCACCACGTCTGACCAGGATGTACGGATGTGTATCAGCACCACCTCGTGGCAATCAGCGTTATAGCACTTCGTAGGCTCGCACAGGAAATGCCAGGTTTGACTTCAATGACCAGGATCCTTCATTTTTTTTTGCAGGAAGTTAGGTGTGGGCTGTAAAAGGAGAATTTTAAAAAAAAAAAAGTGGAAAAAAAAAAAAAAAGAAAAAGGAAAAGGCATGATGGAATTTTAGCTGCAGTCTTCCTTGGTGCCATTCCAAACCCACAAAAGTGCAAGATTCATCAGTGGTAATGAATTTTTAATTGTTTCCTGCAGTCTTAAAACAAGATTATGCCTTTTTTTTTTTTTTTTCTGTAATTAACAATAAAATCTAACAGGATTCTGCTGCAGGACCACTTTCATTTCCCTAATTAACCCTTCTGCTGCCACTAGTCAGTGCAGCTCCCAGCAGCAGTTTGCTACAGACCGTCCATGACAGAATGCACCAGGTGCGTTTGCCCGCAATGGAAGAGCATGCTCACAGGGAGACCTGCAGGAGTTGGGATGTGTGTGGATGTCTGTGTAGGTGTAAATGGCTATGTGCATATGGTTGAAAAGGAGGAGAAAGAATCGTGTTGCAGTTTATTTAGAAGGCTTCAAAAATACGAATTTGTTGCAGCTGTGCTGGGATATGTGTATTTAGCGAGACAGTAAAATAGGATCATGCTGATTGTATTCTAATTATTGCATTGTTTTAATTTGATAATTGTTTCTTGGGTATATTGTCTTACTTGGAGGTTGTTACTTTTTTATTGCATTTGCTATATTTTTAATGTGCTTACTCAGGAGAAGGACTCCTGAGAATAATTCCTGAGGGCTACAGCAGAGATCCCGTTTATGATTTCAGATCAAAGTATTTGCATTGGGAATATTTTCCACTTGTTCTTTTTAACTGAACTGTCTGGAGACGTTAAGAGGAGATGGTTCTGCTCTTGTTCATGGGAACTGTGAAAAATATAAACAACTGATATGGTATAAGACATAAAAGATCTAAGTGCAGTATGTAATGATTAAAGATCATTTTTTGTTTAATTCAGCTATTTTTCCAGTGCACAGTGTGTTGCCAGGTAGGAGATCTGAACACAGGTGCTTATGCCTGAATCTTGTTTCCTGAACTGGCAGCTCTGCAAAGGCAGGATATTTGTAGTCATAGAGAAGGAGCATCTCACATTGCTTTCAACTGATCCCTCTGGCGTTACATGGCAGTAGTGGATTCTAGGAGTCCTTTCTGGTCCTTACAGCTGGAGAGAGTGTTGGTACAAGGTGCAACTTTCAGGATAATAAGGAGGTGAATTGTCTGGAGTCTCACTCCTCAACATCGAACGAGAATCATTTCAGAACTGTTGATTCCTCACACTGAATGTAGTGGAAAATATCTCCTACTTTATTGACTGGAGTGGATAACATTACCCTTGATAAAGGCAAGAAGATGTTATAGTATTGTATGTGATACTTTTTTTATATGGTCTATAGAATTGGCAATCTATTGTCACAAGCACTAAGTGAATTCTAAACTAAATGTTTTAAGAATTAATTCCTTCAAGACAACACTAAGAGGCCAGTTGCAAAGGAAAATGGTTTGTCTTGAAATAAAAACAAACGAAAAAAACAGTTTCACAGCTGCCTCCTCTTGGATGATGTTTACTGAATTTAACAAGATGACCCACAGAAAATTCTATGAAGGTATATTCCTTTACATTGATTGTAGCTATTTGTGTTGCTCTAATTTTTTTTCTGTTTTTTATATTTTTAGCACTTTTTTATGAGAGAGGCTAAACAGTAATTAAGAGGTGCAGGATGAAAAGATGGCACAATCAGTGCTGGTACCACCAGGACCTGACAGCTTCCGCTATTTCACAAGAGAATCGCTTGCAGCTATTGAGCAGCGTATCAATGAAGAAAAAGCTAAAAAATCCAAACAAGAACGCAAAGATGATGATGATGAAGATGGCCCAAAGCCAAATAGTGACTTGGAGGCAGGAAAGACACTGCCATTTATTTACGGTGACATACCTCCAGGAATGGTGTCCGAGCCCTTGGAAGACCTGGACCCATATTATATCAATAAAAAAGTGAGTGTATTTTGTATTTCTATCAGACTTTAAGAAGATTAAAATACAAGGAACCCTCTCACAGACATAGTATTTCCATTATTTTGGACCTGGTCTTTATGTTTAATACATTCCCCCAGCAGCTGATTTCATTGGCAGAAATCTCAGTTGTAAGAACAGAAGTTAGTAATGAAAGTTTGTGGGACCTGGTCTGTCGGTAGAGATGCATTTAGGCTTATTTTAATGTATCTGGCACTTTACTGAAACTTGTAACTTTCAGTGTTTTACACGCAGAAGAACTGAAGAAGTAGCACAGGAGTTATCTTTAGAATTATTATTTTATGAATTGCTGTATTATAGATGTGAAAGGAGCAAATCTTCACTATGAAACATATCTCAAAGGTAGCTAGACACCTTCTCAGTAGCTTTCTTCACTGTCACGTGGAAAGCCTAGGTTGCATTCTCTTGTTGCTGGGAAGGATAGAGAAGTATGTAAAGGTAATTTCTCAGGATGTGCCAAAGATCGTCCTTGTCCATTTAGTACTCTGTAGAGGCATCATATATCCATCTTAGTCTGGGTGAAAAATTTTTCATATCCAGATTTATGTTGTTCTATGATTGTTATCAAAAAGGAGGTGTTTAAAAGAGGGACATAAATAAAGAGGAGGTAGGAATTCCTCTTGGAGTGTCGACAGAATGTTATGTAATTTTAAAAATAGTTTATAGATATGTTCATTTTTAAAAAAATAAAACCACACATTTCCTTTTTTGTTTAAAGTAGCAACAACAACTGTCGTGGCCAAGCACAAAAGTGCTGAACTTTAGATTTTTGACCATATGGCCTTGGGTTTCCTCCAGAATTCCAGTCCCTCAGATTTTGGCATCGTATGTATTGCACCATCATTATTGAACCAGTAAAGAAGAAATTACCAATGTTGTTTTTAGTTTTTCTGTCTTCATAGTTTTTTTTCTTGTGCTTTCTTTTCTTTCCTGTGGAAATTAGCTAGTGAATGAAAACAAGTGAATTAAAAAAAAAACAAAACAAAAAGCAAAACAAAACACAAAAACCATGAAAGAAAAAAAACTACTTAAAAGAAAAAGGAAGAAAACACCCAAGAATTGTTAGGAGTCAAACTTGAACTAAGTAAAAAACCACAAATTAAGATATTCCCTGCAGGAATTAGGGGTATGCCTCGTCACTAACTTGTTGAAACATTAACAATATAGGCAGACAGAACAGCTTAAAAAAAATCAGCTGTACCTTAAATGTTCATTGCAGAATTTCTAAAACTCAATTTATGCTATGGAGAATCGTGAGTTAAATTTGAAGACAAGATTTTCAATTAAGTATCGTGTTCTAGTCCCTTTACTCAAGTGATTTACCCTGTTGAAGTCTGGAAGTAAAGCAAATGGAATTTGGGTCCAAGTGTTGATCCCTTTCCTTCCTTCTTTCCCAGTTCTGCCGTAGTAAGAGTCTAAATTCGGTGCTGGAAATCTTAAAGTTAGCACACATATTATCGTGCTTTGGAAAACAGACAAGTAATTCTGCAATGAAGCATGGACGTGAAGTAAAATCGTGCTGAACTGCTTGTTCCTGGTTGAGAAATGCATAGTGGTTGTCTCGGTCTTTTCCAACAGCATAGTGGTTTCTACTAGGAGATGTAAGACTCCAAACTACATGTGCGTGACAATCATAATTTCTGCTATTATTTTTCTTGGCGTTCTTTGCATATCTTTGAACACCCTTGTTTAGTTCAGGCTCCGTTTTAAATTTTTTGTATGTCTTGATGAGTCAGCATCCCACAGCTTCATCAGAGTTTTTGTTAGAGTAAAGGGAACAGAAAACATGAAAAACTCTGATTTGAGAGCATATTTTCCTGAACTCCAGGAAGAATAGTAATAGAGTTGAAACACAATGGTAGCAGAGTGCATTACAGACCAATCCTTTCTGCTCTACAGTAAAGGACCAAAGCATGGTGCGAGAAGCAATGGATATCTGGGAATGCAAATACATTCAGTTTGGAAGTGCTGAAAGTTATGATTTCAGATGGGAGGGCATTGTGTTCTCAGGATTTTGGCTGCTGTATTTGGCACAACTGCTCAGAAAGTAAAGCATAATCTTTACAAATGCTACCCTCTGATTCCAGCTGAGGCAGGTCATGGCTACTGGCTGTGCTCCAGGTTTGCATGGCTTATGTTCCCTTTGGGCTTTTTAGGGCTGCCACAATGCTGGCTAGATCCATTTACCTTCAATAAGCATGAACTTTCACCCACGTGTAGAAAGAAGAGATGATAGATTTAGATAGGAATTTCCCCAAATGCATGGAAATCTAAATAATTTAAGAACTTACTGCATGTTAAATAAAGGCTTTATTCTTCTTAATTTCCCAGGTTTTATTAAAACTATTACATTTATAAATGCTTTTTTTTTTAATGTTAGTAGTACACATGAATTATTGCTGAAACTGTGGACAGACAGTAAAAATATATGGATGACTGAGTTCTGTATTAGGTTAAAGTAAAGCATGACATAAGAAAAATAAAATCACAGGTATGAAACTCTCACAGAAAATAGTTGAAAGAAGCAGCGATATATTATTCTTTTCCTAGGGTACAGCAAAAAGTACGTTAGTGTTACGTGAAAAATTGGTTATTGACCACTCTCAATTTCCTTATTTTCATGAAGATCACTCTTGAAATGTAGATCACTTTGTAGTACTATTGTCTTAGTACTTTGATTTGATAATTAGTGCTGGTTATTTGATTCAGGGAATGTTGAAGTTTTAATGGCTCTCTTTTTTTTTTAAAGTTACATACCTCAGTGTATATATTATAAGGTACAAAAAGTATACTAATTCTTCAAATATTATCTACATTTGTACCTTATATACCTGTCTGTTTTCTAGCTAGCAATATCAGGATTACTTACGATTTCTAAATAAACTTACTCAAATGTTTTCATGCAATTATATTTATAGTCATTTGGCTATGTGTAAACTGGATAAGGGGATTGTGATTCTGGAGGAGGTATAAATGGAAGAAGAGTTTGACCAAATGTGATTAATGATGAAATAAAAATGATTCTGGGTTTGAACTTGTAACTTGTTTGTAACTTGGTGTCTTTTAAATGCTATTTTTCATTCTGTGTTTCTTTTTCCAGACCTTTATAGTATTGAATAAAGGGAAGGCAATATTCCGATTCAGTGCCACCTCTGCCCTGTACATGTTAACTCCTTTCAATCCTCTTAGAAAAATAGCTATTAAGATTTTGGTACATTCATATCCTTTTCAAGTGGTTAGTCTAAAACTGTAGTGAATGAAATGTTCCTTAGTGGTTAAATCATTCTCTGGCACATGTCCCATGATCAGTATGATCTATAGTGTTTTGTCCCTCTTCTCTCTACAATTTCTGTCTTCTGTACTTTTACTTATTCGCTTTTTACATTTGTGTTCATTGCAGGATCTTAATATGGTAATATCAGAAGCCAGACTACCAGTCATCGTCCTTTGCAGTTTCTTCCTGTGTCTTTTTTCTTCCTCCACCTATTTTTTCCCTTCCCTTCCCTTCCGTCATTTTTCCTGTAATCATTACAACTTTTTTCATCTTTTCCTCTCCTCCACATTTTTCATAAACTGCAGATACATTACTCAAAATGCTTTCAGTTCTTCCCTGACACTTTGTGTTAAAAATCAAATCTTTGATCCCAGGTTTGTGCTTGCATGAATACTTAGTGAAAATATGGTTTCATTATTCCTTTTCATTTTCTGATTCAGATTACAATTGCAGAAGGATATGTTGATAAAACAGCTTAGGCTTCTTGTTTTATTGTACATTCTCAGTCCTATATGTATCGTGCCAGTCTATTTTATTTCTTGATCATTATTTCATTATGCACTCATGATCCTGTAGACGTTTTAATTTCAGTCTTCAAGTAAGTCATGGGATTTCCACATTGCAGGTAGAGATTTGCAAAGCTAAATGATCATAATGACTTACCTATTATTTTGTCTTTTTCAGTGTTTTGATAACTGACTATAGTAGGCTTCCCACTGGACTGATCCCAAATGCTGATATGAGCAATGAGGGCATTGACTTCAGCAAGTCAGCTTGCTTACAGAACAAATACAAATGTTTGCACGCTTACAAGAGTCTAACAGTGAAAGTAGTTTTGTTTACATATAGGGATCGTAAGATCATATAGAATAAATATTGAAAGGACCTTTTTCAATCTTGGTATAATGGAAGTCTGATAATTACAATGGTTTTTATGTGTTGGATGTTGTTACCAATGGCTAGCCTCCAAATGACTTGAGTCAATCATGACTCTACACAGCCTGTTTTGTCTTTGGTTACTACAGGTGTCACTACAAATAATTTGTCAATTATATGTCAGTCCTTAGCATGTTACAGAGCATTAGTCAATTACACGGAATAATGGAAGATCATGGGACAGAGATAGTGGTGAAAAGCTAGAGTCACCAAAGTCAGAATGTTAAAAAACATTGTTAAAATTGTGGGAAGATACATTCTAGTTATTTCTGCACTGATGGAAGAATAGTGAGGATTTGCAACTCTGAGAGGACATTTAATCAAAAAGGATTTTGAAAGCCTGTGTAAAATACAGGCTTGTGAAACACTTTTATAACACATTATTTTTTATGTTTTTTAAAATACCTTTCTTTCTCTACTGCTTTGTTCATATATGAACTACATAGTAAGAAACTAGATTCTGAGTAAAGGATTTAAAATATATTTACTGAGCAGAAAACCCGAAGAATTGTTAAATGTTATCCACAGTTGTGTGATGGTTCAGAAGGCAGAGGTACTTACTGTTGCTTGAATTTTTTTTTTTTCATTAATGTAGACATGCAAAGAAGATTTTATGAGGGGAACCTCACAGTGCTTCCCACCCCAGTATACTCGAATTTCTATTTAGGAGCACTGTATGAACCTGCATTGTAGTTACAGAAGCTAAAGCTCCTCTCAAAATCGAGCTCTTTCTAATTTTAGGTGATGGTGCCATCGGGTGGACAGTTCGTGCATCATCTGTGTGGTTTTCATGTTAGTGTTTGTATTTTCATTTCTAAGAATGTCATCAGTCCTGACAGTGAAAGGTTGTAGATCCAGAGCAGTTCTGTTAAGATCAATGAAATTATTTATGACTTGGACCTGTTCTGGAATTCTTTTTAGATTTCTTTTTTGAAAATATCATGTGCCTTCTCCTCCACCAACATATATATTACAAAAGCCATATATAAAGCAGGCAGTAATAAAATACCTTTCTCCCTAAAATTTCCCTATGGTCTCTCCTGCTATGTGATAACTAGCTTTCAATATATGTATTATAATGATAAGCAAAAACGTTAATGCATGCCAAACTTTATGGTGAAACATAACAGAAGAAAAGTGAAGAAAATGTATTTTTCACTGTTTTGTATGCATGAAGTAGATCAGATTTGTCTAAATCAGCCCAAACAAATGCTTTTTATGTTATTCTACTAAATTAGAAGCTACTACTTCAAACTTTCACATTTTTATTCGAAAGAAAAAAACAACTAAGGTCTTCTTAAGATTAAGGGTTAGGGTTTTTTTTTATATCTTTCAGATTTTTCTAATTTTTAGTATGTGATTGTTCTCTTTTAGCTGCACAGCAGTGACTGTGGAAACTTTAACATCTTCAGGGCTTTCCTGTGAGTGTTAACAGAGCAGTGGAAGGATAAATAGCTCCTGATAGTGGAAATCTGCCAAAGTGTCTTGTTATTTGCTACTCTTTTTATGAGATTTTCTGGCTTGCATTCCTTAACTCCTAACCTACATTATTCAGCATGCTTATCATGTGCACTATTTTGACCAACTGTGTATTTATGACCATGAGTAACCCTCCCGACTGGACAAAGAATGTAGAGTAAGTTAAATGGACTTTCTTTGAATAATATTCAGCAATTGGAAATAAACTGCTGCTAATTATTTTATATTAGGATGGCATCCACTGGCCTCAGCTAACTTGTTGGCATATCCTTTCAACAGCTATTCTGATGCTATTTCTTCTGTGTAATATTAAATACATATATTTTACAGGACTTGCCTCATTTCAAGTTGTTCAATGTCCATCCTCTGTTTGCAGTACTAGATGAGGAATGTAAGAAGAGAAGCTTGTTTTATGACCATGAAAAAAGTGGATTATAAATATTTTCCACTGCATTCTATGTAATGTCTGTGCAGGAATGTGGGGAAATACACTCTTCCCTCACTATTGCAATAATGGTTACAGATAAAGGGATCATCTAATGCATGGCTGCCTTCACTATAGTGCAGCTTTCCCTTACCAAAGACAATCTAACAATGGAAAGCTTGTATGAAAAATAAGGTATTAAAAAGGAGTTTAAGTAGTTGGCTAATCTTCCCGTAGGAAGAGAAAAAGTCCAATATGATGTCAACTGCTTGGTGCCAATATACAGTTGGTGCATATTTTGTGATAGTTCCAAGGCTGTAGACCACAGTGTGAAACACTGCTCTTCATGGTGCTTCATTTTTGCAATAGCATTTTATGCTTCTGCTGCTTCTTCATTCCTAGCTGCTTTGGATGATACATACCTGTTTAATCTTCAGTAATCAAAAGTGAAATCATAGGGCTATTAAAGTCAGTGGAAGCATTCTCATTTAGAGTTCAATATGAACATACATGTATTCAGGTTGTCCAGCATATAGTAAATATTTATGAATAAAGATAGCTGGCTTGGATGTTTCTTCCTGTTATTATACTGTGCCATTTACAGCAGAAGTCCTTCTCATCTGTTGAGTAAAGTTGTGCCGGAAAGAATTTTTTTAGTAATTGAACTGAAAAAATTCACACTGGAAAATTGTTTTCAGGTTGGCTCAAGTCTGAAAACCAGTTCAAGTCTTTTAAGCAGTTTAATTTCAATTCTTTTCCATTGAAGATATAAATGAAACTAAATTTCAATATTGGAGTTAGAAAATTGAAAACTGAAATGACTTAGAATGCCAGAATTGAATATTTTTACTTTTTACATTTCAATCACATTTTTTAGTCAAAATGCGTAGCTGGATTTTATTGGCATTTGTAAATATTTTTGGTTGTTCTTGCACAGGATTTTGCATCTGAAAACACTCGTTCATTACAGTACTATGCCTGTCTTGCTGAAGGTGAAGTACTGGATACACCTATTCTGTAACAAAGTCAACGAGGACAGATGAGGGTTGGCACATTGTCAGCTCACACTAAGCAACATTTCAGCATAAAAAAAACATTGAAGAAAGAAATTTTTAGTCTGGAAGCAAATTCTGAAATCCTAACGTAATCCAGCTGTGTGTTTTGTTATAACATGGATTCAGATTGGACATAAATGTGCACCAATGAAGTAACCAGGAATTTTTCAGCTGTTTCATTGGTATAAATTATAGAATTTGAACTTAAGCTGTGGGTTGTCGCTTAGCCTTTTAATCATAGTTTGATTCCTCCTTCATTATGGTATAAATTCTACAGATGTTTAAAGTTGGTTGTAACTTTCATTAAATTCTTATGTCACTTAAATAGAAGAAAATGAGAATAAAGCAACAAGAGAGCATAATGTGCAAAGGTAACGTGTGTTTCTATAAACTGTGTCTTGCGTATTTTCCTCAGATACACATTCACTGGAATTTATACCTTTGAATCACTTATTAAAATTCTTGCAAGGGGTTTCTGTTTAGAAGATTTTACATTTCTTCGAGACCCATGGAATTGGCTAGATTTCACTGTCATTACATTTGCGTAAGTCTTCTACTTTTTTTTTTTATTAAAAAATCTTTCTGATAGCGTGAAATTAATGACTAAAAATTGCCTCATATTTTGTCAGCCAGAACATTTGGAGCCTGGACTTCCTGCAGTTTCAATATGTTTCTTCTACCTCTTTTACACATTTTAGTATTTCTAACTAAGCATGTGCTGCAGAGGCCAGCATGGTGTGCCAACCCATTAGGATTGTGAATGCCATCAGCCTGAACTGTTCATATCCTGTCTCTTTTCTGCATACCGGAATTAAAGGAATCCTTTTGACTTCCTGCTATAAGCTGACCAAATTAGGTTTCAAACATCAAGTTAATGTGTTTTATTTTGATAAAATTTCTTTTAATTTTATGATCAGAAGCATATTTATAACACAGGCAAAATACGGTGAAAGGTGAAGAGGTCTTGATCAAAGACCCAAGCAGATAGGATAAAATCTGCCTCAATTCTGAGTAACTGTGATTTAATCCTACAGGTATGTAACAGAATTTGTAAACCTAGGCAATGTTTCAGCTCTTCGAACTTTCAGAGTATTGAGAGCTTTGAAAACTATTTCTGTAATCCCAGGTAAGAAGTAGTTGGTGTAAGGTGTTAGGCCCCTCATATCTCCAACTGTTATTTGTGTGCTGTCATTGTGTTTGTGTGTGAACTCCCCTATTACAGATATGTGACAGAGTTTGTGGACCTGGGCAATGTCTCAGCGTTGAGAACATTCAGAGTTCTCCGAGCTTTGAAAACAATATCAGTCATTCCAGGTGAGAGCTAGGTTAAACACTGAGGCTGACTTTTATTCTACAAAGGCTGTACTCACATTTTTAAAGCATAAGCCTTGTTTGCTACACACTGTTGACAAAATGAAAAAGCAGGAATCAAGACATGTAATTTTATTTAAATTGATTCTTGCTTTTCTTATATTAGTTGTATTTTCTTTTCAAAAAAATCAGCCTTTGAGTTTAACAAATTCTTGCATGAGATATTTGCAGTAAACAGCCTATGTGATTTGCATCTTATGACATCAAGCTTTCCTTTACATGTTTTAAATATAAGTTAATTTTAAGCTTTCATACTGATGCAAATTTTATCATTTATTGCAGGCACTTGATAGAGCAACCAAATTCAATTTTAAGTCATGTATAAAAAAATTAAACTCTAAAGGATAGCATGGGCCATGCATGGGGTATTGTTTTAAAGATGTCCTTCTTCTCCAAACCATCACCCCATTATATTGTAAGAAGATTATTATATCATTCAAATATGCACTTATAATGGGTTTACTAATGCAGAATACATTTTTAAAAGTTCATATAAGAAAGGTTTGGGCAAGAAGCATCAACAAAAGCAAACGATGCTTTTCTATGTAGGGTTGAGATATAGCATGAGTAATAAAATCACTTGTTTTGGCATAAACAATGTGTTTGGTATTATCTACTTTTTATTTCTGTACACTATGAAATAAGCATAAACTTACAGCTTTTCATTCATCTTCACAAGTAATAAGGCTTTTAATGAAAATTATTGTATCACAAATATTAGACCCATTTAGTTGTCATTTTGCATGAAATCTTTTTCTTGTCAGGAAAAATCACATGATTTTTTGTGTGTTTGGTATCTGTTTAACATCATAATAAAAATCTTTTCTCTTTGCAGGCTTGAAGACTATCGTGGGAGCCCTAATTCAGTCTGTGAAGAAGCTCTCGGACGTTATGATCCTGACTGTGTTTTGTCTGAGTGTATTTGCACTAATAGGGCTGCAGCTGTTCATGGGCAACTTGAGGAATAAATGCCTGCAGTGGCCTCCAGACAATTCTACTTTTGAAACAACTGTTATTTCCTACTTTAATGACTCTGTAGGTGAAAATGGTACATTTATTAATACAACAATGACAACATTTAACTGGGATGAGTACATCGAAGACAGAAGTAAGAGTTAATTATATCATCTGCTGCATTGATTTTCTGAAATTTTTTTAAACAGATACAAAAGCATTGGTATCTTTCTGTTGCCTTTAAAATGCTATAATCTGGCCAAGAGACATAAAAGCGCTCATTTTGTGTAGTAAATAAAATAACAATCATAATGTAGTTTAACATACTCATAATATTGTACGGGGTACCAAAATATGTTTTTACCTTTTATTAAATAGGACTTTTAGAGTAAATCCATATTGTAGCAGAAAGCAGAAATTTCCATGCGAGCTTCAAGACCCCTGAAATAGTTTAACATTCCTAATATGGGATCTGAAATCGTATAGCCACATTAGTGCAAGGTAATGCCCAATATCATAAATCCACATTTGAACGTCAGTTAGCTCATGAATCCTGCCATAGCATATAAATGCAGCTGCATTATTTCTTCTGGAACTTGGTAAGAGTCTTTGCACTGCTCTCTTTTGCACAGCACAGACGTGCCTTTATGACAGTACTGGTGATTTATCCCCTGTTTCTTATTCTAGCAAAATAAGAATTAGAGTGCATATTATGTATCTTTTAATTTGTTTCTTACCTGTGGAAAATCAAGAAATTAGCATTTTGGTCTCCTTTGTACCTCATAATAGAGTATTTTCACTGTTACAGGTAGTTAATGTCACTACTGTGTTAACAAAAATTGTTTTAAAATTCAGATAGACCAACTCTGAACATATCTATAGTAGATTGCTATTCTTTCTTTCATCATGGTAAATAGCTTCAGTTTCTCATATTTATTTATTCTGTCCCTCCTATTTATTTTAGTGTATTTAGGGTTCTAACTTTGTAATTAGGCATAATCTCAGTTTTTTTATAAAGTCTGTATAAATGTTGTAACTGATGCCTGTATCACTGAAAGTTACGAAACCTCAGTTTAACAGCTAAATGCCTTATAATCTTTTAATATACTTTTCTTAGCATGCTTGTAGTATCATTGAAATGTCATCTTGGAGGAGATTTTGGATGATAACATATTCTTAAAAACATCTGAAGAACAGATTCCATTCTATTACCCTTTATCTGCTTCTGGTACAGCATCACACAAAAAGAAAGTTTTTTCTAAATATCTTACCTAAATTTTTCTGATTTCAGATTGAATATATTGCTACTTCTCCTGTGGGCTTAGAAATAAGATAACCATAAACTACTTTATATTTATGATATTTTGAAACTGTTATCTTCTTTATTTCTGGTCTTTTCTAAACCAAGCAATCCTATTTTCTGCTTTGCATTTTCTATACCTGTTTCACATTTTTTTGCTTTTTTAGACTCTTTCCAATTAGTCTGGGATTTTGGTTTTTCTTTTTTGTTTGTTTTTTTTTCTTTTGTTATGTTTTTTGTTTGTTTTTTATTATTCATGAGATGCTCAAATCTGGTACTTACTTCTCTAATAAAGGTACAAATTAGAAGTAAATAGCTCATGTGCCATATATGCAACATTCCTATTAACACATCTCAAAATTACATCATTTTTATATCAGCACCATATTGTTGATTCACAGTCAACTTGCAGTTCGTGACAGTCACTGTATCTTTTTGTGGAGCAGTGGCTGTGGCCAGATCCTGTCTATTATGCATTTGCGTATTTGATTTTGCCTTGTCAACTGTAGCATTTTCTACTCATCTCTGTTGAAATAAATCCAATTGCTTTTGGACCAGCTTGTCAGTTTGTAAAGGTCATTCTAAATTTCAATCATCTTCTATCCTAGCTTGATGTCTTCAGAATACCTGATGCATTTTTTCTATTGTTTCATGTCTTGATTTGGTAATGAAACTTGTTATGAAAACCGTGCATAGCACAGATCCCTGGAGGGTCTTCAGAAAGATGCCGTTATGAATTGACATTGGGCCACTGGCAACTGCTCTCTGAGAATCTTTTTTCAAGTATTATGTGATGATTCCAGCCAGAACATACCTCTTTTACCTGCTTATGAAAGTGTCATGTAGGATTTGTACCCATGACTGTTGTCTTGTTATTAAGTTGGCGGGAGATAGGAATAGTTTTATATATGGCATATTTTTTATAAACTCACATTGACTATTTTTATTACTTTATCATTATCATCTTTGTATTGAAAAAAATATTATTTAAATGTTTTCCAAAATACTGGGCTGGGAGTTGAGCTGACTGGATGGTTTAACTGGATCCTCCGCTTACCAGAGGAGGAGCTGTGCCACATAAGAACGTGAGTTAGGCCCACAGACAATTTTGAAAATCCAGGTTGGAGCCTATCTGCATCTTTAAACTTTTAAAGCTTTTTAGGTAGGGGTTAGATCTCTCATAGGGCATGACTATGTGAGCACTGGAATGTCTGAAAATCCACTGTTTTCTTATCTGATATCTGAGAATAGATTGCAGATTCATAAGTTATGCACATAATCTTTCTCTTTAAAATAAGCAGGTTTTATGCTGTCTCTGTTGTTATACTGGTGGTGACAGAGTAGAAGCAGTCAATAGGAACTGGTTGCAATTCCCTACTTGTCTCTTTAGCATTAGCCCTCAGTTAGTTCATGCCAGCTAAGCTAGTCCGTGCCAGCTGGCAGTGAATCTCAAGGAACCATCTGCTTCCTGGGAACAGCCAGAACATACCTAATTTTGGCAGCTTTAGCTTAATATGCCACCTGACCCAAAAATCTCCACTAGAGATTCCCATTTTACCGTTAAGAATCCCAAACTAAGAATTGATGACAAATTGGTTTTCCCTTTCTGCCTCAAAGAAGAACAAAGAAAAGAAAAGAATATGCTGGGGGGGTTTAAGACTTCCATCTCTTTAAATTATATTTTACCTCATTCTAATAGTTAGCCTATTAACAAAATACATACAGATACTTCAAGTACATTCCTCTGCTATAGAATTTTGTGTAGTAATTTTTTGTAATGTAAAATAAAACCTTGGTTTCTCCCTCAGCTGCTCTAGTCAAGATCCAGTTAATGATTTCTTGTGCATGTTGTGTTATGTTTTCATGCTGGAAAAATTTCAGTACTTTTCCAAGTAATATTTGGATAAAATAGTACGTAATTAATAATTATAAATGAAAAGCACTAAATGGTATATATCAAAATGCATGAACAAAGGCAGGGAATCGCCCGCATCCTGTGTCTCATTTTCCTGGTATTTGTTCACTCATTTGCTGAAGTACACAATTTGGTATTCCACCCATTGTATCTTATTCATTTGGGTAGGCTACTGAGAATTACCTGTACAGCTGCCTTTCTATTTCCTAAAGAAAGGCCAACTTCAAGACTCTGTATAAAGTCATTTTCTTGTCAAAACAGTATTTTCCATGCTTTTTTCATTCCTAATCATTATATATTGCAGTTAAACTGTGTTACCTGTGCTTATTTCTTTAAAGTGTAAAAGTCTCTATCATTGCTCAATTTCCATTATGTATAAATGATGTCTTTCTCATCACCTTTTTTTTTTTTTTTTTTTTTTTTTAAAAAAAACAGATCATTTCTACTTCTTGGAAGGACAAAATGATGCTCTGCTGTGTGGCAATAGCTCAGATGCAGGGTAAGAAAATGGTTATCATTTTTCATTATGCATCAAGAAAAAATAATTAGCTACTTAGAATAGCTCAGGTGGTCAACTTTAGTATCAACTGTACCACAGAGTTGTAGATTACCGATGTTTTGCAACTGAAGCTATACCTAAATATAACCATCTATGTGTTTGAGTTTACACAGGCACTTTCGTCAGCATCTTAAGCTAATTTTGTAAAGGTAACCAAGTGAATGCTATGTGCATAAATGTTGCTGCCAGCTTGCTGACAACTGTTTATCATCAGCTATCATCAGCCATTCTTCTCTTGTCCTGGTGGAGATGTGTTGATATGACAAATTGTGCGGAAGGGTAGATTACTATTATATTATTGAAGCATTGAAATGTCATTAGGAAATGGAATTAAAAATTGAAAACCAATAAGATACATATTTTTATCTTAGGTATGTAGAATAAAATTTTACTTGTTCATAATTTCATTAGCAACTGATACTCCTGAACGATTTTGTCATTTACTATAGCATATTGTAATTTAGAGTAGTTGTTAAAAATAGCATTTCCTCTTCTTTTGTAGTCAATGTCCAGAAGGATATATATGTGTGAAAGCTGGTAGAAACCCCAACTATGGCTACACAAGTTTTGATACATTCAGTTGGGCATTCTTGTCACTGTTTCGATTGATGACTCAGGACTTTTGGGAGAATCTTTACCAGCTGGTGAGGACTTATTAAAATAAACAGCACCGTCACCAATACCATTACTACATAGTACTTGCGTAGTAATTTTCATTCACATGTCCCTAAGGCCTTTGGGACAGAAATCATCTTTTATTTCATGTATGTAAGCTGTCTAAAACAATAGGGCCCTTGTTCATGATTTAGGTTCCCATGTACTACTCAAATACATACTAAGAAATAGCTGCTATTTTGTGAAGGTGGTTAAGCATTGTTGTTTCTTTTCACAAATGAGTAAATGAACTTAAGTTGTTAAAGCTTCTTACCCAAACATGCTGTAAATAGCTGCTATTCAAATTGATTTGCAGTCTGGTACAAATAAGTTGCCTTTGAAAAGGTTGCGTCTTGTCCCTGAACTACATATATCCTTAACCTGAAGAACAGTGATGTTGTGCAGCGTGACATTCTGTATACTGCGCTGTCTTTGTGGCATTGTAGTTTGGGACTGATCAGACAAGAAGGTAAGATGCTGGTTAGTGGCCCCACTACTGTTAGATTTAAAGGCTATGATATAGACATATAGTGCGGGCAGCAACTGTTACTACAGATTCTTATTGGTAGAAGTTTTGAAGTATTCAAGCTAGAGTGTCTTATTTACCTTGACCATAGTAGACACAAAACTTAAATTTTTGCACATGTAGCCAGGAAATAATACTATTTGTATATGGGAAAAGTAACTAAATAATCTTGTGCTAAGACAAAGCAATCTTATAATGTATAACACAGATGCTACCATATTATGCAACAATATTTAAAAGTCTGCTAAAAATGTGTATTATCTCTTTTTCTCCAGACATTGCGTGCTGCTGGGAAAACATACATGATATTTTTTGTTTTGGTCATTTTCCTGGGTTCTTTCTACCTGATTAACTTGATCCTGGCTGTGGTTGCCATGGCCTATGAAGAACAGAATCAAGCAACCATGGAAGAAGCAGAACAGAAAGAAGCAGAATTTCAGCAAATGCTGGAACAATTGAAAAAGCAACAGGAAGAAGCTCAGGTATCCCTGTAAAGTAAAATTCTTTCTTCCATTCATGTTTGTGATTAGATGCTTTGTGTCTACATAGGAGAATACTTTTACTCCCTTACACTTAACAATATATTACCTTCAGTCTTATAAATTCCTTCATTTTGCAAACAATTTTTAATGTTTTCCATTGCACTGTGGCTTCTGGTTTAAGTGAACCCGTTAATTTGTGACAAAAATGATAACCAATAAGCTAAAATACTGGATTTTCAAATTGGAGATGGAAATTAATTTTTTTACTGAGCGCTTGAACAAGTTGCCCAGAGTGCTTGTGGGATCACCATCGTTGGAGATGATAATCAAAAGCCGTCTGGACATGGTCTTGGGAAACCTGCTTTAGGTGGCCCTGTCTGTGCTGGGGAGTTGGACGCAATGACTTCCAGAGGTTCCTTCCCAACCTCAACCATTCTGTGATTCTGTGAAATGAAGATGGAGATATGGGGGAAAAAAAACCCACCAGGAATTCTGCTTATTTAAGTAACAGAAGCAAAACTATTGTAGGTGCTGTGGGAGAAATATTTTGCTTCAGCAACATTTGGCTTTTTCTACTCCTTTCCCAGCTCTCACAGCAGAAAGCCGTAGTGTTCCAGTTTTAAAGAAAACTGGAAAAAGTGGAGAAACTGGAGAAAACGCTTCTGTGTACAGACGTCATGATTACATACTGCTTTGAAATTCCTTTTCATTTTTTGAAGACTCTGAAATCTTTAATAGGATAATTGATAATATCTGCTTGGCACGTGGCCACATAGAGCAGAAGTTGAACTGTCTTCCATGTAAGCATATGGCTAAAGTCAGCAATAGGGATTTTTTGTTAGTTGGTATCTGGTTTGTTTTTTTTTACCACAACTTGTAAAATGTTAATCAAATGCCTCATAAATGTTTGAAACTTCAGACAGCAACAATAGCCTGCAGTTTAACTCAAATACCTGATTATGATTTGCAAAACTGAGATAAACAATGTTATACCAGATCTTTAATAGACTAGAGAGTATTCAAAATCCAGCAAAATGGTGTAAGAAAGTGTTGCTTCCTGTTAACAGGGATTTTTCCTGTTGTTTGAGCCTTGATTCCTTACTTTTACACAGTATTTCAGGTGAAAAATTCATTGCAACATATTACTTTAATCTAAAACAGATGCTTGTTAACTTGGTTCTCTGACAGCACAGTTTTCCCTTGGGCTGCTCTAACTCCTGGTTTATGGAGCAGTGGCAAATTATGGTTCCTGTGGTATTTCACAAATTATACTTCTTATGATATGCTGGGTTCAGTGAAGTGGGATCATTGCTTTTATTTCAAAATTATTTTTTTTTTTAAGAATGGGAATAAATTTAAAATAGTGAGTGGTGTGTGTTTGTATAAATGTTGTAAATTGCATATGTGCTTGTACATATAGGCAGCAGCAGCAGCTGCAGCAGCTGACTCAAGAGATTATAGCGGAGTAGGTGGAATAGGTGCATTCTCCGAAAGTTCTTCTGAGGCATCAAAACTGAGCTCAAAGAGTGCTAAAGAGAGGAGGAATAGAAGAAAGAAAAAAAAGCAAAAAGAGCAATCTGAAGGCGAGGAGAAGGATGGGGAAGAATTTCACAAATCTGAATCAGAGGACAGCATCAAAAGGAAAGGTTTCCGATTTTCCATTGAGGGGAATAGACTGACATATGAAAAGAGATTCTCTTCCCCACACCAGGTACCATAGTATTATTACATCTTAAACACTTTTGTTGTCTACTCATCATATAAACAAAACGCTGTAAAGTACTTTAGTCAATTCTTGCAAAAGATACCACAGATTCTTTAATATCTTAAATCAAAGTATGACCAAGTTAATACTTGCAGCCAAAGATGAAACTGTAAGACTTTGAGAGATTTTGTTTTTATTCTGAATTTATGTGTGAAAAATCAAAGTAATATGTATTAATTAAAATGAGTTGTATTTCAAGTTTCTTAATGAAAATGGACCTATCTCCCCATCAAGATGGATGTATTCAGCATGTTTAGTGGCTTCAAAATTTGCTGCACGCATACAAAGGAATTTCATGTTTTAAATAAGAAAAGTACTAAAACTTGGGATGCAAAAAACCCAGAAGGAATCGCATAAATGTTCATGTGAAATTTGACAAATTAATTGATGTGAGATCATTAATTGTGTTATCTTAAAGAAGGTGGAAATATGTGCGGCAATGTGTCCTTGCATGTGTTCTCTTACATGAAACACCAGTGACTCAGAGTACCATCTGCATCTCCTATCCAGACATTTATTTCATTTGATAGTTTTGTTATGTTATCCCTTCTACAGTTTTCAGAGCTCCTCTTCATTTGCCCACCTCCGACTCTCCCCTCAGTACTTCAAGTCCAGATCTCACATCCATTCTGTCCTTTTTCTGCCCCTTTGTGTGCCTCAATATGCTTCTTCCTTTTATCCCCCCTTCTCAATTCTCCCTAGTCTTTATGACTTGCTTTCTCCCTCTTTTTAGTCACTATTACTGCACTCATTCCTTCCTTTTCAATCCTCTTTTACTGTCTCTGGAAAGCCTGTTTCATTCCTAAATAGATCATAAGCGTTCATATTCTCTTCATCTATCACTTTCTCCAGCTCCCATTCTCAAAGAAGCTCAGACCTCTTCATCCAATATTTTAAGAACTGTCCTCCTTAGATCAGACTGTGGTGGGAATATAATGTTTCTAGCTTCCTATTTCTGTCAAGTTAACTCCTCCTTCCACTTACTTCCTAACGTACTTCCTTTTTAATAGTACTGCATCCTTTTTGCCCCCCCTTGGTCTGATGCCATTTTATGTTGTTAACTGTCTAACTAATCTCTGTAAGACTTCATTTCTGAATTTAGTTAGTTCATGATTCATTCTATTCCTTATACAAATTTTCACACCTATATCCATTGACTTCAACTTCATGTTGAAGACTCATCTGATCCTTTAGGTGCATATTCTTGCTTGTGTCTTCATTCAAACTGCAGCCCTGTTCAACTGCAGCTCAATTCATCCATCTTGTAAGAAATTAAGCATTCCTCATACAACTTGCTTCTCTTACCTTGTCATCTCCAAGTTCATTTACAGCTGTTTACTATGACAGTCTAGCAATCCCCTCCCCTCTGGTTTTCCAACCCTAGTTCCTTTTCACTCTGAGTTCTAACCACTAAACAGAAATTTCACTCACCAGTTTTTAATGACCTTTTCCTAGTTAAAACTCAGGTTTATATCTCATCTTTGACATTTTCCTTGACATTTCACTTGCCTTCAGTGTAACTGACCATTATGTTCTTCTTGAAAACTTATGCTTCCTAACATTCATGATTTCATCTCTCAATTCTCCTGGTTTAGTTGTGCTGTAGAAGATCCTTTTATGCCTTCAACAGTTTTCTAAGGGATTTCCACAAGGGCTTTTGTAGTTCCCTTCTCTCGCTCTCTTTTTCTTTTTTCTTTATTTCTTTTTTTTTTTTTTTTAAAAAAAAAACTCTACTGTGGACACACAGCTGTGAATCGTTTTTAACTTGGACCTATTTCCGTGTCCCAATTACTGCTGTATTCATCAAGAATGTTGTTGCAAAGAACACTAACCTATCTCATTGCTTTTACCTAATCTGCTAGTAAACATACCTACCTAAAGATATTTTTTTAATACCATAAAACATACTGTGCCTAAAGTTCCTCCCAACCCACCTTGTCTACTTACAGTAAACAAGTCAAATCCCAGCTTTGACTGACCCATCCATAACCTCCTGTTAAATTTTCAAACTAGTTTCTTTGAGCTCTTTCTGGTATGCTACCCCTCATGCTTGGAAGAAGCTGCCATGAGTTTCCACAGAACACTTCATTGCTTTCCTCAAATCCCTCTTTAAAACTCTCTTTTACCATGCTGCCTACAGAAAGCTTGACAGGGAAGTGACTTCAGGTGAGCTAAGACCACTGTTTATCATACCCATCAATTATGCCTCCTTGTATTCCCTCTCTTTTTGTATCCATCTGTTGTGTTACACTTAGATGATAAGTTCTTTGCAGAGTGCCTTTTTGTTCTGCATTTTGCAGTACCTAAAACAATGGGGCACAGGTCCATAAAGATAAGTTACAGAAGAGAAACAAAGACACTGCTTTCTCATGTATCATCTCTGCTGTTCATAGAGGTCTTGGGTGAAATTAATTGCTAATTCTAATCATTCAACTCAGGAGAATCACTGATATGAATTAAAGTTAAGAACTTATATAATTATTTGCAAGGTTAGAGCATTATTTTGACTCTGATCCTGAAAAGATCCTCCCATAGCAGGACATTTACTCACATGAGTAAACTGATGAAGATTAGTGAGACTGTTCATACAAAATTACAGGCATATCCTTTGCATATTCAGGATAGCTAAGACTTCAAAAAAGAAATAAAAACTTTATTGTGGCCTACTTGACTAGTATCTGAAAAAATACGTATGTTTTTTCAACTAGGCAATATTTGGGAGCTACCTCTGTGTGCAGACTGAGTCACAGGAAATTTGCCTAAAATTTTATTTACTCAGCCTGTCAGACTAATGCCAACCTGGTGTAAATAGTGTCTAGATGTGCTTACTCAGTTTATGAACAGTTGGTAATAAAACAGGCAGAATGGCAGAGGAAACAATTCTGTCAAGCAGTTTCTTTTACTCTAATTAAACCAATTGATTTCATATATCCAAAATAGTAAAATAACTAGTCTTTGTCTGTCACTTATGTGCTCTTTGTTTACTACCCAAAAGGGAGTGTATTGGCGGGGGGGCTGCACCAGTTTATTTCTTTGTAGATGACCTTACCCTTTAAGATATACTAACACTGTGTTTTTTTTCCTCTGTATGAAAACATTATATTTAAAAGGATTTTCATCTGATAATCATTGTTTTTATTTGCCTACAGTCTTTGCTGAGCATTCGCGGCTCCCTGTTTTCCCCAAGGCGCAATAGCAGAACAAGTCTTTTCAGCTTCAGAGGTCGAGCAAAGGATGTAGGATCAGAAAATGACTTTGCTGATGATGAGCACAGCACTTTTGAAGACAATGAGAGCAGAAGAGATTCTCTCTTTGTTCCTCATAGACATGGTGAACGGCGCAACAGTAACATTAGTCAGGCCAGTAGGTCATCCAGGACAGTACCTCCACTTCCAGCAAATGGGAAGATGCACAGCACTGTGGATTGCAATGGAGTAGTTTCTTTAGTCGGTGGGCCGCCAGCTTTGACGTCACCTACTGGACAGCTTCTGCCAGAGGTGATGATTGATAAAGCAGCCACTGCTAGCAATGTAAGGAAGTCTGCTATAGCTCAGGCATGATGTCCTCTCCCTGTATGATCAACTACTGTTTCTACAAAATTTAATCACTTGGGAATGATTCCCTTTCTGGCCAAGCTGTGAATGCTCCTTTCATATATTCCAGTTATAAGTTAAAGTAGAAACTGAAATTGTCTAGCTCTCATTAACCAACTATGTGAAAATATATGCTAATTTACTGGAAATTAACAGAATGGCATAGTAAACCATTGAATAAATCTAGTATGTGTAGTCTTACACCCATTGATTCATTATGCTAACTGAAGACTTAACTGGACGGTTCTGTATTGATATATCAGACAGGATATCAAAATGAAAAAAAAAATTATATTTACTTAATGGAATATATTAAATGAGTATTTAACTTCCCACTGACCTTATATGCAACCTTTGATGTAACACTGATAGTACCACTTACATGGGTTGTGGTAGTATTCCTGTAACACAGTTAATTTTTCCAGGGTTTTTTTTTGGAGATGTCAACATTGTTAGATATATTTTCTTTTATTTTGTTTGAAAACATGTGCTAGGAAATTGATAATTTATTCTAAATTAAGAGTAATCTTAAGAAAATACCCTTTGTGCTTTTACTGCTAGCTGTGTGGGCTGTGGATTTTCATGTTTAGAAAAAGACTTCATCGCCTAATTAGAAAGATGTTTACGGCAGAGCTCATTGACAAGCATTGTGGAAATTTTTATAGTCTAAAAACTGTTTATAGTCTAAAATCTGTTTTAATGTCTCAGCCTTGTTTCAGCAAAATACTTAAAAACATATTCTTTAAGCACAAGAGCAGTCCTACTGATGTATTTGACAATTTACTGTATACAAAGTTAGACATATATTAGTCTATTGCAAAACCACGACATGCATGCAGCATGGTGCAGGACAGCAGAGTGTTTTAAACCATTATGCTTCTATAATAATTTACAGTGTTATTAAACGAACAATCAATAGGTTCTTTTATCAGTGTTTTATTTTCAGGGCACTACTACAGAAACTGACTTAAGAAAGAGACGGTCTAGTTCTTATCATGTTCCTATGGACTACCTAACAGACCCTAGTGCAAGGCAAAGAGCAATGAGTATAGCCAGCATGCTCACTAACACAATGGAAGGTATGTAACACAGATTTTTTTGTATGACAATGCCATAAAGTGCTATTAAATGTATCATACCTTGACTAGTAGTGGTGTTTTAAGGTAGCTATTTTAGCCTAAAGGGTACAGGCAAGATGAGATTTGTATATAGAGGTAACATTTTTTTTTAAAGATGAACTGATGTATTTGGAAAAGCAGTCAAGCTTTCAGTATACTAATAGGTTTGAGGTGGAAGCAGGAAACTTCCAAGTTAAATGCAAGCAAAAAGCAATTGATCAATGCAGTGTTTCCGTAGAGAAGTTATGTTTTGTGGGTAAAAGCTCTTTCTAGATTACTGAAATGGCTATGCTGCTTGCAGTAGAACAATCCCCTTCTACCAATTGAACAGACATGCTCTTTCACAAAGGACAGATCATGTTGTTCTTTCTGTAAGGCTAAATACAATTAATCTGAATCATGGAATTAAGCAACTACTTGTAAGAAAGGGCAAAACATTACTTTGAGGCTTAAATGACTATGCCCAAAATAAGAAATAAAAAGGTAATAATAAGCAGTTTTGCACATGTGGACTATAATACTGTCTAAATAGTTATCTGACTTCAGGTTTGTTCTAAATGTTTATCTTTCATGAGGAAACTTTTAAATACTGTATTCATTCTATGTATGGAATCATAGAATGGTTTGATTGGAAGAGACCTTAAAGATCATCTAGTTCCAACCCCCCTGCCATGGGCAGGAACACCTTCCACTAAACCAGGTTGCTGAAAGCCTCCTCCAACCTTGCCTTGAACACTTCCATGGATGGGGCATCCACAACTTCTCTGGGTAACCTGTTTCAGTGTCTCACCACCCTCACAGTAAGGAATTTCTTCCTAAAATCTAATCTAATTCTGCCCTCTTTCAGTTTAAAACAGTTACCCCTCATGCTATCACTACACTCCCTAATAAAGAGCTCCTCCCCGTCTTTCCTGTAGGCCCGCTTTAAGTATTGGAAGGCTGCTCTAAGGTCTCTTCAGAGCCTCCTCCAGGCTGAACAACCCCGATTCTGTCAGCCTGTCCTCATAGGGGAGGTGCTCTAGCCCCCTGATCATCTTCATTGCTCACCTCTGGACTCGCTCCAATAGGTCCATGTCCCTCTTATGCTGGGGGCCCCAGAGCTGAACCCTCCCACTCCAGGTGAGGTCTCATGAGATCAGAGTAGAGAGGGAGAATCCCCTCCCTGAACGTGCTAGTCACGCTTCTTTTGATGCAGCCTAGGATGACATTGGCTTTCTATTTTTAATTGTAATTTCTTATGAATGACAGTAGCCTTGGTTTCAAAAGGTTTACAATATTGACACAGTTTATCAACAGTACCTTGGAAAACAGCATTTAGACCTCAAGGAAATACCCAGGTGATACTGGAATAGAGCAATATGTTTAAAATGTTATTTTCATTTTTCTCTCTAGAACTGGAAGAATCCAGACAGAAATGCCCACCATGCTGGTACAAATTCGCTAACACTTGCTTGATTTGGGACTGCTGTACTCCCTGGCTGAAAGTAAAACATATTGTAAATTTGATTGTGATGGACCCTTTTGTTGATCTGGCCATTACTATCTGCATCGTCCTAAACACCCTGTTCATGGCCATGGAGCACTATCCAATGACAGAACAGTTTAGTGGTGTGCTTTCAGTAGGAAACCTTGTAAGTTGTTCATGATGTGCCATGTATGTGAAATGCATTTTTCTTAATTAATTCTTCTGTGACCTATGTACGTATGTTTAAAAGAAAATGTTGACTAGATATTTTATAGGCTTGGGATGGTTGAATTTAAATCTAAGCTGTACTGAATCTCTCGTTGTTGACCTTTGTGGATTTCGCCACTTGCTTTACGGAGCAAAAGACAGTAAGATTTATGGAGTCAATATACATTTTGATTTTTAAAACTTTCAGCTTCTGTCATTGAAGCTGGTTAAAGGAATTTAATATTTTTTCTTGGACGGAGACTTACAAATCATAAGAAATTTCAGTTCCATTCCCACATCTGTTCTGCTCCTAACTAGCGCCTCCTGGGGCTCTGGGTGTTCAGGGAATTGTAGAGGGGAAAGACTCAGGAAGCATGGCAGATTTACTGCAACTCCGCGGGAAATGGTGAAATGGCATGACAGTTCCTTCTGAGGTCACCCTGAAGAAGAACAGTTCTGCTCACCTTTCAGTAGAATTTTTTTTTCTTAATAAAGTAGTTGTCCCTCTCATAAATTTATCTTTATCCCTAGAAGCAAAAAGATGTCCCAAGGGCAAAGATGAGATCTAAGGAGGAAAAACTGAGCATTAAAATCAGAAGAGATTCTCTGTATCAGTATTTATACATGCATATTAGCAGGCTAGATAAAAACCATATTTTTCTGCATTTACCTCTTTTTCTTTGGAAACCAAACATTGTGATGCATATGTAAGCTTCAAATCTGAATTTAATTCCTAACCCCAATGTATGGCAATATAGAGAAGCTGTTCAGATGTATCACTGATTGCTTGCTGAAGATATAACTTACCAAAAGTTGCTACCGTTGGTTTTATTTTTTTAATGTTTTCTCATTAAACTGGAGTAAGAAACTGTATTTTATTTGCAGGTGTTTACTGGAATTTTCACAGCAGAAATGTTTCTCAAGATAATTGCCATGGATCCTTATTATTATTTCCAAGAGGGCTGGAATATTTTTGATGGGTTTATTGTGAGTCTTAGTTTAATGGAGCTTGGCCTTGCAAATGTAGAAGGATTATCTGTCCTTCGATCATTCCGATTGGTAAATATACTAAATAAAACATGTTTCTCTGTTGTATTTTTGTATTTGCACATGTATGTTGTGCATTTTTTGTTTGTACGTTATATATTTGGCTAAGACAGAAGACCTTTTCATAAGAACTTACAAAATACTAAATTGCATACCTACTGGATGGCATGTATCTATTACGTCAAGTTTGTTTTACATATTATCTTAGTAATGTCTATGTCGTCTTCAAGACATTGTCAATCAACATCAATTCTGTTCTTGCAGCGAGTGGGCTTTAAGGATTAACTTTTTTTAATAGTAGTATTTCTTAGAGTCTTTTTCTCCCTAAATGAGAGAATAAAAAATGCAAGAACCACAGGCCCTCACTACCTGTGATTGAAGATTAGTAAATAGCTTAGTAAATAACAGATTCATTAATAAAAGTTTGTTGACAGTTTTAGCTGATAGACTTCCATTACAAGTTTGCTTACGTGCTTAGTTTTAGAAGAAAGTAGTGTTAAGATTTTGCTTTGGATAGGGATTTTTCACCACTACGAGCCTTCCCCTTACCATCCTCTGCATGGATCCATCTGCTAACAGCTTTTCTGTTTGGAAATCACCACAGTATCTCTGTCTGTTATTAGAGATCTCTGGCATGAATAGGAACTTGAAAAACCTTGGTCTTGCTGAAGACTAGGCTAGCATGTGAGTTGATGTTCAAATCCTCTTCTGAAAAGACCTACACAGTAAGAGACATGAAGCTAGAGTTCCTACTCATCAAGCTGAACATTTACCTTAAATAAAGCAAAAAATATTTAACTTTAAACAAACTTTAAAAAAAGAGGGGGTTAAAAGTAATCCATTTGCTGGTTTTCCATATAGCATTATATTGCATTTTGCCTAAAGTCTAGTATCTGTCTGGATTGACTTCTCTCTCAGTAATAGAATTCTGTTTTTAACTTTGCATCTATATATTTTATTTATGTCTCATCCCATGTAATAATATTTAGATTTAGATTCCTTTTAGTATTCTCTTTCAATTGTCTGAACACTTGCTATATGTTTCCAAATAATTTCATTTTTGTCTGTTTCAAGTTGTACAATTTCCTTTGTTTTTCTCAATGTTGTATGGCAAACTTGGTAAGACATTACGCTTATTTTAAATGACAGAAGAGGTATTGTTAGATACTTGCAAGTAACTTGTGTGCCTGTCATTAACAACTCTAGCTTGTTTCTATTTCTAGGAAAACCATTTCTTCCATCTCTCTACCAGTTAGGATGAAAGAGAACTGGAACTATCTATACGCTTACAATCCTGTTAAACTGATCACATTTCATATGTGCTGGTTTATTTTTAGTAATATTCTCTTAGAGTTAACTAAAGGAGAAAGACTATTTTGTCCAACTTGTCCAACAAGTACAACTTATTTATAGATACCTAAAGTCACCAAAAGAGGCAAAGTCTGAATTGGAGACTTTGTGGTAATTGCGATGTAATTGAAATGAGCATAGAGACAGTATGTTTGATTTCTTACGACTTGAATCAGGACTTAAGACTGCTGATGTCTAGTATTGTACAAATAACTGGAAACATGAATTTTGTAACTAAAGTTTCTAAAGGTTACATGAGACGCGATTTAGATACAGGGTAACTGAAATATGAAATGTACAGCAATAATTTAATTACAAATAGTAACATGAATAACTGTATACTATTCTTCTGTTTTGCAGCTTCGAGTTTTCAAATTGGCAAAATCTTGGCCAACTCTAAATATGCTGATTAAGATTATTGGCAACTCAGTGGGGGCTCTGGGTAATCTGACCCTGGTGCTGGCCATCATTGTGTTCATTTTCGCTGTGGTTGGGATGCAGCTGTTTGGGAAAAGCTACAAGGAATGTGTCTGCAAGATCTCCAGTGACTGTGAACTTCCACGCTGGCACATGCATGACTTTTTCCACTCCTTCTTGATTGTCTTTCGAGTGCTGTGTGGAGAATGGATAGAAACGATGTGGGACTGCATGGAGGTTGCAGGCCAAACTATGTGCCTTACTGTCTTCATGATGGTCATGGTGATTGGAAACCTAGTGGTATGTAATCAGTGGGGATTTTTTTAAATTATTAGAATGTATTTCCTGTTTTTCATGATTTAGAAATCAGAGATGAAGACTGGAGAAGGACTTTAGGACATCATGTAATTCACTGCCCTTTCTCTAAACCAGGTTCAAATATACCTTGACCATTTATGCAAAATGTTTGTCTACATTTTCTTTTAAATCTTCAGTAAGTTTATAACCTCTTTAGTAAGATCAGTGCTGAATTATGCTTATAGTTAAAAATGCCTTTTAAAAAACCATCTAACTTAAATCACCTTTTATAGCCAATTAAAATGACTGGTCTCAGTAGTGATGGAAAACAGTTGGTCTTCATGACAACATTTATAATACTTAAAGGCTTACTGTTTCCACTTTCAGTCTTTTATTTTGGAAACAAAATAAGCCTAGCTGTTCAATTTTGTCTCATAGGTAATGAATTCTAAACTACTCACCCTTTTTGCTACTGGCCTCTGAATTCCTCCCAAGCAGCATTTTGGATAGAGACACGAGTACTGAATAATGTGTAATAATTATACTTCCATGTCTTACACGCAGTATTCCTTGTTGTACATCCCCAAATGACACATGAAATTTCTGTACCAGCATTGCTTTCCTGATGGAGCCTATATGCCCTTTTCTGCAGTGCATCCACCTTGCCAGTTTTCATACCTTCTGTATATGTACTTTGCATTTTTCATAACCAACATTTCCACACTATTAATTCAGAATTAAATGCCATATTGATTTTAGATCATCTCACCAATTTACCATGGTTATGCCTAATTGTAGTTCTTTCTTGTTGAGTGCTAGCATCCATTCTTCTTTGGTATCATCCACGAATTTCATAAATATGCTTATCCACAGGCATACATAGCAAATTTAACTGGATCAATGTGAGACTCCTGTGGTATACCTTCTAAAATATTCTGCAAGTTTGAACAGGAAGAATTGACAAATATAATTTAAATATGATTTTTAATCAGTTTTGCACAGTCTGTCATAGTTACATGTAGTCCAGATTTCTCTTGTATGTTTGTAAAATGTCATGCAAGAAAGTCTGAAATAGTTTCCTAAAATTGAGGAGTATCACATCTGTGGACTCTTTATGTTTTAGCTAGTTTTCTTGCCCAAAACAAAAACAGACATATATTCTTGTTAAATACACGTTTATTATATTCTGAATTAGAGACACCAAAACTATGGTCTGTTGAACTGCAGGAAACTGGAGTCTGCCTGCATTCCCCTTGCCTATGAACACTACAGTGGATGTAGCTTGCATAAATTACTCTATCATGTTGTATCCTGCCTCCTTACATCATTCTCCATTTTGAGGAACAGACTTGCACTGCTTCCAGTGTGGAGGAGAAAGTCAAGGAACAGCTCAGATTTTCACCTATATTCCTCAAGTTAAACAAGCTAAAAATATTTTTGGCAAGTTATAGCAAAATATGGGGGACAGGGATTATGGACTGGAAAGAGTAGCAGGAAGGTGGGTTGAAATACAGTGCTAGCTGTGAAATAAAAATTATGACATATTGAACAACTCATAATAGAATTACTTTTGTGACTTAAAAATAAGAGATCCAGTATATTTTCTCCTTACTGTCTTTTAGGTACTCAACCTCTTTTTGGCCTTGCTGCTGAGCTCATTTAGTTCAGACAACCTTGCTGCTACAGACGATGATAATGAAATGAACAATTTACAGATTGCTGTGGCAAGGATTCAGAAAGGCATAGATTATGTGAAGAGAAAAGTGCGTGAATTCATCCAAAAAGCCTTTGTTAGAAAGCAGAAAGTTTTAGATGAAATCAAACCTCTTGAAGACCTAAACAACAAAAAAGACAGCTGTGTTTCTAACCACACAATAGTAGAAATAGGTAAAAACCTTGCCTATCTTAAAGAAGGGAATGGAACTACCAGTGGCATAGGCAGCAGCGTGGAAAAATATGTTGTCGATGAAAGTGATTACATGTCATTCATAAACAACCCAAGTCTCACTGTGACAGTGCCAATTGCTGTCGGGGAATCAGATTTTGAAAATTTAAATACAGAGGAGTTCAGCAGTGAGTCAGACCTGGAAGAAAGCAAAGAGGTAAGACTATTTCTATATTTAAAATACTCTGATGCTTTTCTTTTTTTCCTAAAGTTACTAGTGTTGAATTCAAGTCTCTATTTAATTCCTGTATAACAGCGTATACAAACTTGTAATGGTATTTAAGGTAAATCAATGTAAGGTTGCGGATTTTGAATGAGATGGTAGTACAGTATTGCATTTACAATAATCAAGATGCATAAGATAATTTTTTAGAAAATTAATACTTTTTTTCTATTTTATTTTGTTAAATCATTAACAAGAAAATGAACCAATTTAATAGCCCTGGATACCAAAAGTCTTACAAAATGTGTATGGGTTGTGCAAGTTTCTCCATGCTTATTTCATCAGTGCAGTTTATTTTGTCTGCTTTCTGGAGCACCTCCTGTCAAATTAACAGTTCATTCGGATGCTTTTAACCTTTTTTATGTAGTCAAAATACATCTAGATACATCATAAGTACATTTGAATATTGGACTAGCATCACTAAATGATTTCATATAAATCACTAATAATCCATCTGATAGTAGCAGAACCACTGAAGAAGTGAAGTAATGGCCTTATGGTAAAAAAGTTATGAAGCTTTATATTTCAGTATAAGATCCTTTCATACAACTACCCATTGTCATTTTCAAAGCTTTAAGATATTTGAATCTGTTACCTACTGTGACCATAACCAAATGTACCTCTTTCTGGCACAATGTGGTGCCAAATGGACAAATCCGAGCTAGCATTTAGTGAGTTACAGTGGATGCCAAAGCCATTATTATTGTGTTAACCCAGTGCTCTGTCCTGCACAATTGTACATGATGGAGGCAAACAACCTCAAGTGGAGTAAGTCTATGCCATGCTTAGTACCGATGCTAGTTCATTCAGCATTAGCATGGGTATTTTTGAACAGTACTGCATGCTACAGTATAGATAGAAACTAATATAAAAGTTTTCATAAGTAATTTCCTTGTGCTTGAATCTGAGGGTATAAATATGGATAAGATTCTCGTAATTTGCACCGTGAGATCCCTTTTTGTACAGACTGCATCACACATTTAGTCATAGTTTCTTGTTTCTTATCAGAAATGTCTTTATTGTTCTTTTAAAAATATTTATTTTCTGCAGATTGTTCATTCTAGTATTTATCTTACTCTTCAAAAACATGACTTGGGTGTAGACCAAAGCAGAAGTTAGTGTAGTTTAACCTTTAATTATTCTGTGTTACAAAGACGGTGATTATACGAAAGTTTCTTGGTCTGAATGTAGGATTTTGGTTGATTCTATTCTATCTTTGTGCATAGTATAAGAAAAGAAAACTTCTTCAGGCACCTTTACACCACATAGGGCCAGTGCATTTTTCTGTCCTTCCATTATTCTGCTGTTCCATTGTTCTGTTGTCCCATTGTAAACTGTTACAAAACTTACTGCTGCAAAAGGAGCAGCAAATTCTACTGCTAATCTGGTTAAATTCCACCTATCAGTGAGATCATCTGTAGTGATTGCATATGACAGTGAGGGCACAGGTCATTTTTCTGTCTTTTTGTGAATCGTGTAGTTTCTTGGCATAGCCTGGTCCTTCTGGGTTTGTTTTTTTTTCCTGCTAATCATGTTCAAGTCCATCTATCCCTTTCAGTCTTTTCACTGTTTAGTAACTAGTCATAGCCAGAGGATGTACTGAAAGTTTGGGAATAAAGTGTCTTAAGTTAAAGTTCAGTACTAGGAAACAGAATACTTTGGATTTCTTCATCACAAAATATTTATTGCTATCTTGGTGGAGTAACAAATACCTATCTGTCATTCTGCATTTGTCTGTAAAGTTAGTATAGTATTTTCATCAGTTTTAAGGGTGCTGTCAAGCTAAATCTATCATTTTTTCACAAAACATTCTAAATGCCTTAATTGGAAAGTGTGAAGAAGATACTGTTAGTTTATTCTGCAGATACATTGTAACTGGCAATGATGCTTCAGATTATATTGCTGTATGAATGACACTGAAACAAAATATTCTGACACAGATACAGTCTGAGATGTTGTCTGTGAAGTCCCAGTATGATCAGAAGTGTGCACTCAGGAAAATTCTCCTTTCTTCGCTTTGTGCTCCCACTCATATCAGATTAATTCTGATAATGTTACTGATTCTAATACTACAACTACTCATGGTAGTAGTAAACCATGTTTTAAATTGTCCTATATACTTTTCCTGTGCTTGTTCTTTTTTAAAAGTTAGGAAGTTATGTACATATTACCTGAAGTCTTATCAAAATAGATTATAGCTCTGATAATTTTTATTTGGCAACTTCTCTGCAAAAAGTATTTTGGAAGTGTAATTGGATTCTACTAATTTAAAGACTGTATGTCATTAAAATTACTGAGAAAGAAGTAATTTAAATATTTTCATTAGTGACTATTAGGTTAATTGGCTGCTGAAGTCTGTTTTTAGAAATGTAATCACAGAACTGTTCTGTACTAGTGGAGTTTTCTTCATTTCTTATGCTGAAGCTACAATTGTGCAGAAAATAATTTGTGATTCACTGAACAGTGGTAGCAAGAAGGAAAGTGACTTTTGGTAGTGCCTAATGATTAAAGCATCTGTTTTGAGAATGAAGTCTTGCCCTGCTACAAAATCTGGTTACAATTTTTAAACAGTCAGTAGTCAGTGACTTAAATGCAGAAACTACCTTGAAATAGGGACCAAAACCTGAATTTCCCGTATGAATTCCCTAATCACCAACATTGTCCCTTTTGCTTCTTTTTGTAGCCCTCTCAGTCTTTAACTATTTGCTACAGAAGAGCATTATGTCAGTAGACGACATGGAGGATATACCTTATTCAAACCTGTAGGCTGGTGGTTAGCAGGACTGAGTATGACCACAATGACAATGATGCATCTATTTCTTCATTGTGTAACAGGATGGCATGACTGCTGACTGTTTTCATTAACCAAATCTTTCCTTTTCCCAGTGGAAGGACCCCAACTGGGTTATTCTACAATGTGACAAAAATATTGGTTTGAATACCTATAAGGAAAATTTTAAAGCACATTATCCCACATTTGAGACATGAGCTCCAGTCATTAAGCTTCCACTGTAAAAGAAAGGCTTTCTCCTCCAGATACAATACTTAAAAGAAAACAGTTTCTCATTGCATTCTTGGAGGCACTTAGTCTTATAAATGTGTGTGTTAAACATGCTTCAGGAACTGCAAACTGATCAGGTGGTAAGACAAAGAAATGCATATTCAGTCGTGAATGAGCTAGTGCCAAGCAGTTTTGACTGGTCAAGCCTGAAATGCTTCTGAGCATATTCAGGACCAAAATTTCTTTACTTTTGCACAAGTTGAAAGTGAAAAATTGGAGGGAAATGTTTAAAAATTTCAGGCACCTTCAAGAGAGACACAGCAGTTAAGCATGGACATTGTGAGCATATTTCTTATTTAAGTGCCTAAATTATAAATAGATTTTAATCACAAAAGTGTATTTTTAAATCTTAGTCCTAGTTCCTACTCTTCACTAGATAATCCTTATCCACTATGGTTTTTGATAAAGGGAAGAGTGATGGCTTGTTAGTCACAGGACCAACACTCTTGTCATGAAAATGATCCATAGCAAAAAAAGGCATTTTTTTAAGTTAAAAAAAGTGACTACAAATGGCTTTTTGTTCAAGGCTTCCTTTTTTTTTTGTCATGCCATAATGTGCCTTGCATTTCTGCCCTCTCATGTTTTCCCATTTATATGATTCTGCTGTTGCCAAGTGTTGATCTGCCAGTCACTTCATTGCTTATACCACAAATTAAAAGAACTGAAGTTAGAAACTGCCACCAAACCATGTTCAATCAGCTGTATCCCAAATGAAAGGCATCCATGTACTATGAGAATGCTCTGAACAAGATAGCCAGATGCTAATGAGTGTGTGTCTGTGTGCTTTTGCTTTTCTCTATGTATACACATGCATATATGTATTCACTGTGGTATAGGGCAATAAGCTGAATTTCTACAACGTAATTATAAATAGCAAGTTTTAATTAAGTATATTAATGTCTGAGTCTGACATTCCCAACAGGCTGAGTTTGTTGTCCTATATGTATAAGTCCATGGACCTCAAGCTGCATTACTGCTATCCAGCATAGAAACTGTGAAAATAATTTTTCCTTTTTAGGTCCTTAAGTACTACGGGGATGACGTATATAGGAAATTTTGTAGTTCTGTGTATATATAATGTATAGCTGTGTAATAATCAGATTTTTATGCTAAGTGTAATTTCTGGGCTAGTAATTACACCAAGATATACAAAGTTACAAGATATTTTTAAATGGCTTGAAAAATATGGGATCTCCTAATGCTGTTGCAGACACCTTAATAATGTATATTTTACTTTAAGCAATATTCAGCACAAAAAAACAGAGGTGCTATGTCCTGAACTTCATTTCCTACCATTCTTACTTCTCACAGGAGTAGAACCAAGCTGGATCAGTCAAGCGGGCAGCTCTGGTGCCTTTTAGCGAGGCAGAGCATCGTGTCACCAATTTTACACAGGTTACCTAAGCAAGTTATACATCTATATGTATATACTATATAATCACTTTTTAATAGATATTGACTGGCCTGCATGCTCTTCAGCTATGATCCTGTCCCATTCATTGCAATAAAGTACAAACATGCACAGCTGCTCTCTGCTGAGTCACGGGACTCGCATCACAGCATGGTCAGGCGAGACTGGCAGCCCCAGTATTTCTGTGGTTCAGATGCTATACTTTTGATGATATTTTATTAGTATTTTGCAGTGCATGCTACATACCTTTCCCAGTCTTGATGGTAAAGTTTTCAGGATTCTATTTTTGAAGGGTTTTCTTTCCTTTTGAAGGAAGACAGAATATATAACACCTAAACTATGTTTCTCATTAGAAGCTTATATAAGTCCATCTGTAAATTGTGTTGATAATGAAAAGCTGCTAGCTGTTTTGGAAAACTTTCATACTATTGTATTTTAGCTTATTATGGAGGTAACTTGCAA